TGGGAGAGTGTCCGGCCCATGCTGCGCCTGGGCTGGGACTGGTCCCGCCGGTGCAGGGTAGCAGGAAACTCCTACAGCTCAGCATATTTAAAGGGCTTTACCTTTTACAGCTACTGATTAGACTTTTCTGTTGGATATTTAAGACCAAAATAAATCAAAACCTACAGAACAGAAAATGTAACGTTTATATCTGAAAAAGTCAGTCAAATCCCCTCAGGATTTATCCTGAAGCCATGTACAGAAGTTTTTAGATCTTTTGTCAATGTCAGCCATCTGGGTGTGTCACGGACATTCAGACAGATAGTGATGTTAAGCTAAACTGCCTATGATATACGGTCATAATATCATTAATCTTCTTTTCTGGAGGGTTAAAAACTTGTTTGCAGACCACATAATTGGAGAGAAAGAAGGGCTACAAGAGTAGGCAATATTTTGGTCCTAGCCCTTCAAAGTCAGTGAGGACTCCAGACATAAGTGAACCTGTACTGTAATATCTGTAACTCAGTGGTGTCCCAAATTTTCTGTTCGAGATTATGGGACCAAACAAGAAAGTGATTGAAGATGTATAGTAGGTCTAAGGAGAGTCTTCCAGAGATAAAACATTCTCTCATGCTTTCAGAGAGTGCAAATTGGTCTGTAACTTTTCTAATTTTTAAAAATATTTTATATTTTCTTTATAAAATAAAAAGTTAAAATTTTTGGGAATTCAGTAATTGCTGTTACATTACAGATTGGTGTCAAATTAGTTGCTTAAAATACCATATGCAAGTGTGCAAAATTAGTGTAAAAATTGAAAAGAACAAAAGCGATTGATAGAGGAGAAAAAATTTATATGTATATACACAAGATAGCATGGATAATTACACTACTGATTGTACCGATCTAATGTGGATATTTTAATACCATTAATGCATTCCATTTTTCTGTTGACTTTCTGTTGACTTGCTGTCCTTCTATTTTAGCTCTGAGACTAAGAAGAATGACATATCTCTTTCAGCTCCATTCCTTGTTAAAGAACATCAAGTTTGACACTTGTGCTGGAGAGCACGTGAATTTGGACAAAGAAAGAAAACTTCATATAAAGTTTGACATTCTCAAATTTTGGAACTTTCCTGAAGGTCTTAGGCTTAAGGTTAAAGTAGGAGAATTTTCTCCTCATGTTCCAAATGGGCAGCAGTTGACTTTATCTGAGATGATACAATGGGACTCATTAATTGCAAAGGTATGTTGAATTGAATTATTGTAGTAAATTTTATAGACAAATTCTCTTTTCTTTTTTTAAAATTCTATTTTAGTGAGAAACACATAACAATGAGATATTTTCAAAACTGATTAATAGGACAGTTTTAATAATTAATACATTGTACATTGTTATCTTCTTAGTGGTTAGCCATAGTATAAGATGCAGACAGGATATCTAGTGAAAGTAGCTGTATGCATATCCTAACTCTTCTATGTATACAGATGCAAAATGGTCCTTCCTTTGTATCCGCTTTTTTGTTTAGTCCTGTCAGAAATGGATATTCCATTGGCATCTAAAAACTATAGGTGCGTGAATTCAGCAAAACAATCCAACACAGTCCAGTAGTACACAATAGTAGTGGGTTATCCACACAAGTTGTTGACTAGAGCCTTTCACAGCTCAGCATATTAATAGAACTTTACTTTATATACCTCGTTTTTATACTTTTCTGCTGAATGGTTAAGACCAACATAAACAAGACCTGTATAAGAAGAAATGTAACTTTTGTATTTGATAAGGTCAGTTAAGCACCCTCAGGTTTTATCCCATAACTGTACCACAGTATGCAGATCCTTTGTCAGTGTCAGCCATGTGGATGAGTCGTGCCCATTGCTTGACTGATGTGCTCTCTGTGAAAGCTTGAGAGAATGTTTTTTGTCCATATTACTCTCCTTAAGCACACTCTACATCATTGATCACGTTGGTCTGTGGCCCCATAATCTCCTTGACCAGAAAATTTGGGACACTACTTAGTGACATGATATTACAGCACAGGATCTACTATGTGCTGTGTCTTCACTGACCTAGAAAGGCTAGGGTCAAAATGTTGGCTATCCTTGCAAACATTCTATTTCTCTAATTTTTGTTCTGCAAACTTAGGTTGTTAACCCTCCAGAGGAGAAGCTTATTATTACCCTACAATTTATGCAGTTGGGTTTAACTTCACTATCTATCTGTCTGAATATCAAACATCTTGGGCATAACATGGAACAGGTATTTTCCATCAATTATTGATATGTTAAACTTTAAGTCCCCATAGAATATGGAGATTAAAAATTAGAAAAATGAAAAATATTTAAAAATATGAGTAGATCATTACCTATTTTTACACAAATATTTGGAAAAGTAACCATTTAGAGCATTGTAGCAGGACAGTGCTGTGACTTTTTTTCTTTTTCCGTATCTTTTTTTTCATTTATTACCCATTAAAAAACTTTTACTTGTGAGATAGTATAATAATAGTTGGTATGTCATGACAAGAAGTATGTGTTTAGAAGACCAGAATGACAGGCATTTCAAGCGTAACCCTTCTTTTTCACATTGCTGTCTTCAGTACAGTTGCTTGGTGCACAGGTATTAGCATGTATAGTTAGTCAGGGTGATAATCCTAGTAATTATTTGCTAGTTTCAAAAACCTGCCAATGTTTCTCAGAATCATTGCCTTGCCCATCTTGTGTGTATAAATGTATGGCCTTGTCCCTGTCCTGTTTCCCTGCTTTTCTCCTTGCCCTCTCCTCATTGTCCAATCCTGAAGTTCTCAATTTCCCTTTAATTGTGTTATATCTTTCTATTTGTATTTCTTCTTTTGATTTCTTATACTAAGGAGACTATATATTATTTACACATGAAGGTCTGGTTTATTTCACTTATGAGTATATCTTTAAGTGGCATCCACTTAAATATAAATGCTTCAAATTTATTATTCTTTATATCAGTATAATACTCAATTGTATAATAATACCACATCTTTTCAACCATTCCACATGTGACGGGCATCTTGGTTGTTTCCAAGATTTGACTGTCACAAATTGTGCTGCCATAAACATAGGTACACATATATCACTATTATATGATGTTTTCAGTTCCTCCGGGAAAATTTCCAGTTAGGGGATAGCTGGCCTGAATGGAATTTCCAGTGCTAGTTTATTAAGGAGTGTCCAAACTGATTTCCATAGTGGTTTTACCAGTCTATATTCCCACTAGCAGTGGAGAAGAGTACCCTTTTCCCCACAGCCTTTCCAACATTTGTTGTTGGTTAATTTCTTTATAATAGTCATTCTTTGTGGGTGAGATGGTATCTCAGTGTTGTCTTAGTTTGCTTTTCATGGATGGCTAATGATGTGGAGTTTTTATCATATTATGTGTTAGCTTATTTAATTTTCACCTCTGAGAAGTGTGCGTTCAACTCAGATGCCCATTTCTAGATTGGGTCTTTCAACTTAAGGTCCCTAATGTATTTTAGTTCTTTATAAATTGTAGAGAGCAGACCTTTTTCTGAGTGCTCATTAGTTAAGATTTTTTTGAAATTTGCTCGCAAATACATTTTAGGAATGATTTCTCTAGGTCTGTGAGGCATGTTGGTTTTAGTTTGATAGGGATTACATTACATTTGTACTACAATTTTGGGAGTATGGCCATCTTGACGATGTTGATTCTTACTATCCAGGAGCAGGGAGTATCTTTTCATTTTCTGAAATCCTCTACAATCTATTTTTCAGAGTACTGTAAATTTCCATCAAAAGATGCTTCACTTGTTTAATTAAGTGAATTCCAAGATATTTCATTTTCTGCAGTGTTATTATAAAAGGTATTGTTTCTCTAATTTCCTTCTCAGTATGTTTGTTATTTGTGTAGAGGAATGCTATTGACTTTTGAATATTAACTTTGTATCCTGCTATGCTACTGAATTTGCATATGAATTCTAGTAGCTTCTTGGTGGAGATTTTTGGGTCTTCCAAGTAAAGTATCATGTCATCTGCAAATAATGATAATTTAACTTCTTTACCTATTCTTATTCTTATTTTTTCTCCCTCTTATCTAATGGCTCTCGCTAATGATTCCAAAACTATACTGAACAGCAGCGGTGATAGAGGACATCCTTTTCTTGTACCAGATCTGAGAGTAAAAGATTTCAGTTTTTCCCCATTTAGATTTATATTAGCCTTTGCGTTGTCATACATGGCTTTTACCAAATTGTAGTAGAGGCACTGTGTTCCCATTTTCTGGAGAAATTTGAACATGAATGCATTTTGGATTTTGTCAAAAGCCTTCGCTGCATCAATTGACATGATCATGCAGTTTTCAGATTTCGCTCTATTAGTATAGTGTATTACACTTATAGATTTTTGAATATTGAACCATCCTTGCATCCCTGGGATGAATCCTTCCTGGTCATGCTGTATGACCTTCTTGATGATTTGCTATATTCTATTTGCTAGCATTTTATTAAGGATTTTTGCATATATGTTCATGAGGGAGATTGGCTTGTAGTTCTCTTTTTTAGTTTCGTCTTTCCCTGGTTTTGTTATCAGTGTAATACTTGCTTCTGTGAATGGTTTTGGAAAATCTGTTTCCTTTTCAACTTCATTGAAGAGTTTTAGCAGTGTAGGAATAGTATCTTCTATAAATTTCTTGTAGAATTCAGCTGTGCATCCATCAGGACCTGCACTTTTCTTTTCTGGCAGATTTTTTTATTACATTTCATATTTCACTGGCTGTTAATGAGAGTTGGGTTAATGAGAGTTGTTATATCTTCTTGATTCAGTTTTGGTAATTTCTATATTTCTAGAAATCTGTCCATTTCGTCTGTGTCTTTTATCATGGAGAGTAAAGATTCTCGAAGTAGTTATGGATAATCTTGTGATTTTTCACTGGGTCTGTGATTACACCCTTTTCAATCCTTGTTGCTTGTATTTGAATTTCTTCTTTTCTCTTTTCATGAGGTTAGCTAGGGACTTAGCAACTTTCTTCAGCCTTTCAAAGAATCAAATTTTTGATTAGTGAATTCTTTGAAGTGTTTTCTTTATCTCATTTGAATCAATTTTCTCTCTAATTTTTATGATTTCTTGCTGTCTTTGGGCTCTGGTTTTGGTTTGCTCTTCCTTTTGTTGATGTCAGAGGTGCAGAATTAATGTGTTTTTTCCCATTCTGTTTTCCTAATGTGGGAATTCACAGCTATGAATTTGCCACTGAGAACTGCTTTCATCTCTTCCCACAAATTCTGATGATTTCCTGTTGAATTTTCATTAAATTGTAGACATTGTTGAATTTCTTGTTTAATTTCATCTGTGAACCATTGATTGCTGAGGAGAGTGTGTTTTAGTTTCCATGTATTTATGTGGTTTTTCTCGTTTCTTTTGTCTTTTATTTACAGTTTTATTGTGCTGTGGTCAGATAATATACATGGGATAATTTCTGGTTTCTTGCATATCCTTAAGCATGACCTATGGACTAGTATGTGGTCTGTTTTAGTAAATGACCTATGTACAGCTGAAAAAAATATGTATTCATCTGTGTTCGGATGGAGCACTCTGTATATGTCCATCTAGTCCATTTGTTCCAATCTCTGGTTCAGTTCTATCACTTCATTATTAATTTTTTCTAGTTTACCTATTTTTTTGGGATAAGGGGGTGTTAAGGTCTCCTGTTAAGTTTGTGGTCTTGGATATTAGATTTTCCATGTCTATTAAGATTTGTCTTATATAGTTGTGTGGTCCTGTGTTTGGTGCATAGGTATTTATGAATGTTACCACTTCCTCTTGAATTTTTCCCCTAACCAGTATATATTGGCCTTCTGGATTTTGTTTGATCATTCTTTGTTTGTAGTTTAGACTGTCTGAAAACAGCATTGCTATCCCTGCATTTTTCTGAGGTGCTGGGGCATGTAGTAAGATGTTCCAACCTTTGCTTTTCAGCCTATGAACTTCTTTATGAGTTACATGTGTTTCCTGTGTACAGCATACTGTTGGATTTTGTTTCCCAATCCACTGTGCCAGTCTATTCCTCTTAGTTGGTGAATTGAGTCCATTTACATTGATGGTTATAATTGAGATGTGTTGACTTATGATTGACATGTTATGTGCCTCCTGTTGTTTACTCCTTTTTCTCCCCTGTTTGTTTTCCCTATTAATGTGTTGCATCTATTCTCATTAGTGGAGTTTTGATAATTTTGGTCCTTCTCCTCTACATTTTTCAGGTGT